TGTACTCAGGACTGCGCTCTCGCGTGCGACGTCTTCACAAATTATTCTGGAATTGCGTTTCGGCGCTCAGGAACCACGCGCGCGCCAAGGACGCCTTCACAACGTGGTATCTCCCCTCTTCCTTCGTCCTTCCCCCTCCCCTTCCTCCCACTCTCCCTCGTTCTTCCCCTCCTCCTCTTGCAGGGCCCGCGCCAATTCCAATGGCGGGCAGAGAGATGTACGCCCCCGAAGGATTGTCCGCCCGTTCCGGTTTGCCCGTACGTCTAAGCCCGCCGGCCCAGCAAAGAGAAATAATCCCCCCGAAAGGGGTGTGATCGAAGACGAAGAGGGCGGGCTTCGAGGGTGTAGGGTATACGTGTTGAATGACTCGCGGGCAAGTAAGAGCGTACAGCCTTAAAATGGTTGTTGTTGTTGTTGTTGTTGTTGTTGTTGTTGTTGTTGTTGTTGTTGTTTGTTGTCGTCGTCCCCCCCGCGACCTGGCCCGCGACCCACCCGCGACCCACCCCGCGACCCACCCGCGACCCACCCGCGACCTGGCCCGCGACCCACCCGCGACCCACCCGCGACCCAATCCGCGACCCACCTACATTGTTTTAACAAAAAAAGGGCGCCTGCGGCGGGCTTGTTGTATAGCTTGAAAAGTTTGCGCCTGCGGCGGGCTTCTTCAGAGCCTCGCAGACTGCAGACGTCCCCGCCGACCCCTCACTCTTATCCGCAACTGCGGGGTGCTACGTATTTAGGCGGCCCCGATCTTGCTACCGGCCCTTCACTGTATGACGCAACGGATTGTAACATCTTCAACGCGTGCAGACCTCGCATTTTCTGCGTCTGCAGGGGCTCCGCTGGAAGGACCGAGACACCGAACGGGACGACCGCCGCGAACGAGTCGACCGCCAGGCCTTCCGTGAAGCCAGCAGGGCTTGGAGCCGGGAGGTGGTGGCACGCAGGGATTGTTCGGGGAGTTTTCGGGGAGGGCATTGCTTATCCGCCAGCCGCGTACATCGCCGCCAGCAGCCAGAACCGTTGCGACAACACTTGTCTGCATCCTTAGACAACTCTTTCCTTCTCGCTCTCACCTCGGACGCCTCGGATTATCGTAACGACCTGAGCATCGCGTCGCACTGTCCAGCCACCAAGCAGAATAGGAGGTGGAGGGGGAGGTGAGGAGGAGGAGGAGGAGGAGGATCCCGAGTGGGATCTCGACAGGCGCTTCCTTGCGCTTCGCAAGCATCTGGCACGCCGCACTCGGAAAAGATCTTGCTTTGCCGCGGCCCTGCTATTGCTCGGCACTCGGCGAGGGCGTACAATGGGAGAGGGTGTGGTGAGGATGTGGGATACCAGCGCGTCGTGCTTTATAGGAGCACTGCCCCGGCGCAGCATCTTCATAATCACGCTGCCGCATTGCCCCCGATGAGGGCGTTGATGAATGCACTTGTGGGGCTTCTGGATGGGGGAGATTGGCGCGTCATATCCTACATGGGCATTGCCTCGGTGAGACCATGTTAACAGTCAGCTTGCCGCAGTGCCCCCGATGAGGGCGTGGATGAATTGAGTTGTGGGGGCTGAGGTGGTGGAGAACAGGGGGTGGATGATCGCCCTGCACTCACCACGCCACTTGGGCCCGTTTCCAGACCCTGTCTGTTCTCGGCAAGGCAGCCTGCTCTGGTCGCAGCCGCCCAGGTCCTGCGCGCTGAGCGTGGGGCCCCCCCCCTCCCGGGAGAGAGTATCGAGGACACGCCGCCGTTGAGAGCCCGTCAGCGTGCTGCTCCTTCTTTTCTGTCCTGAGGCCTCGTGCTTTCGCAGGCGTGTTGTCTGCCCAACCCCCTTGACCTTCGACGAAAAATGGAGCCGCTCAGAAAAGGAGGGGAACCCCAGAATACACCCCGAGGGGCTATTCGGACGCACCCCCTATCGAGGATGGACACCCCCTCATCGTTCATCCCAGGGTTGGGCCCCAAATCTCCGACTCGAACACCCCACGAAGCTTGGGATTGGGGTCGACACATCCCTTGTCATGCTTCGTCAGCAGTGGCGCTCTAACGCGTTTCCCACGCCAGCGTGTCGTTGATACCGCTCTGGCTCCCCCGTCCCCAGCTGCGTGTTGGGCGGGGCGGCTCCTCGCTCCGTGCCGCGGCCGCGGCGGGCCGAGGTCGTGACGGTCAACTGGGGGCCGTGGGCAGAGGCGGGCATGGCCAAGGCGCGCCCGCGTGCCAGCGTCGTCCTCTGGTGGAGCAGTCGGGGCTCAAGAGACAAGGGCGCCCTCGAGGGCGCGAAGTTACTCGCGCTTCGCGGTTCGGCTCCGATTTCGCCTCCTCCTCCTCCTCCTCCTCCTCCTCCTCCTCCTCCTCCTCCTCCTCCTCCTCCTCCTCCTCCCCCCTGGGAGGCGGCGCGAGAGCGCGAAGTTATTCGCACTTCGCGCTTCGCGCAGCGCGAAGCGCGAAGTTGGGAGCTCTTGAAGAGACGGGGGTCCATGCAAATGGGGGTCAGTCAGAGCGCTGGCTCTTGCAGGATGCTGCAGGGCCAGGGGTGCGCTGGTCCGAGTCTGGGTGCAGCGTCTTGCAGGATCGCGCAGGCTCTTGCGGGATGCTGCACGGCCTGACTGACCCTGGTTTGGATTGACCGGGGTCCGCAGATCCCCGAAGCAGGGCAGAGGGAACACACAGACTGACCATGACCACGATGTCGCGGGATTTGTTCGACGCCCATTCTGGTCGTGGTCCATGCTTGGCGTCGCCGAGTCGTGAGTACGATCGATCCACGAATTAGTACTGACCAAGATGGACGATGGCCAAGGTCGACACCGACGAGTCCTTGTTCAGTCTTGGTCTTGATCACCGTGGGTCCTGTTTCGCCTTTTGACTTTACCCCACTAGTTTGATCAGATCCCCCGGCTGCGACCGCTGCTGGTGGGGGGGGGGCAGTAGCGTTCTGTCCGAACTCCGAAGCCGACAGCGACAGCGATAGGAGGAGGTTGAGGAGGAGGGCGAGGAGGAGGAGGGCGAGGAAGGTGAGGGGAGGGGGGCGGGCGAGGAGGAGGAGGAGGAGGAGGAGGAGGAGGAGATGGCGAGGGGGTATGAGGGAAGATTCTCCCTCCTCCCTCTCTTCCTCCCCCTCTCTCCCCCCCCTTCCCTCTTCCTTCCCTCATCCTCCCAATGCTTTCCCTCCTAATCCTCTGCCTCCTCGTCCTCTCCCTCCACCCTCTCTTCTTCTCATTCCTGTCCACTGTCCTGTCCCGCTTCCCCACCATCTCCCTCTCACTGCTTCTCGGGACTCCTCCTCGCCTCTTCTTCTTGTAGACGTCTAGGGGTCGGGGCATGTGATTGAGGATTCGATATGCTGTTATGTTATCGGCATCGCCTCCCCGTTGCTTTCGACTTTTCAGAAGGGATTCTTTCGCTGCATGGTCATTGCGCAGTCCGTGGCCAAACAATCCGTGGGGTTCGAGTTATGAGCAACTGATGTGTTGTATCGTGGAGTACTTGCTGACAGCGGGGACAGCCAGTCGCAATCGTTGCGGGGACCAATACAGCGCTAAGCACGGACGTCTCATGACCAGATCGGCCAAGTATTACATTGTTCCAGTTTGGCACTCTGGGGAAGGGGGGCCTGTGGGGACGAGGACAAGGAAGAGGGCGAGATGTATACTGCGAGACACGCTCGGCCTCACCGTGCAGGCAGTGTTTGAGCGCTCGAGTCAAAACCCCAGATTCCTGAGCACAGGAGGAGCATGAGGACTACTACGCCGAGGAGGAGGAGGAGGAGGAGGAGGAGGAGGAGGAGGAGGAGGAGGAGGAGGAGGAGGAAGAGGTCGTGGATGAGGAGGATGACGAGGAGGGCCAAGTCCAGGGGTGACCCCGGCCCTTTCGGGCCGAACAGCCGTGGGCCTCCGAGCGCAGCCCGGCCTGCGGCCGGCCTCGTGCGCCCGCCGCGCCCCCGCGCGAGGAGGGCACCAAGGCCTACGAGGCTGCCGTCGCGGAGGCTGCGCGCCTCCCCTCGTGGCCGGGCCGCTGGGCCGGGAGGAGGAGGAGGAGGAGGAGGAGGAGGAGGAGGAGGAGGAGGAGGAGGAGGAGGAGGAGGAGGAGGAGGAGGTGGAGGAGGAGGAGGAGGAGGAGGAGGAGGAGGAGGAGGAGGAGGAGGAGGAGGAGGAGAGGAGGAGGAGAGGAGGAGGAGGAGGAGGAGGAGGAGAGGAGGAGGAGGAGGAGGAGGAGGACCGCGCACTGGTACCGCTGCTCGTCCTGGGGGGCCCTCGTCGCCGGCACTCTCCTCGAGATGCTGGTCGCAGCGCGGCCCAGGAGAGAGCCGTGGAGTGGCGGTGTCGGTGTCTCTCTACGCCAGTGGCTTGCGCGCTGTTCCGCCGAGCCCCGGAGGAGAAGCGCAGTCCACGGGGGATGCCTCCTGCCGCTCGGGGATCGCCCGAGGGGCCCATCGGGGCAACTTCTGGGCCTCTTGGAGCCTCTTGGGGTCTGTTGGGCGCCTGCTGGCGGTCTCGGGGGTCCTCTTGTGGCGGATGGCTCGAAATGAAAGTTCGAGTTCCTACCCTTGGGTTCCTCTTGAGGCTCTTTTGGGGTCCTCTTGAGCCGTCTTAGGCTCCCCTGGGGCCGTTCTGGGGCTCTCTTGGGCCGTCTTGGGGCATTCTTGGAGACCTCTTGGGCCGTCCTGGAGTGATCTTGGGGGCATCTTGAGCCGCTTCGGACGCTGTTGAAACCAAAAGGGTGGATATGCCAAACATGTACTGCTTCCCTTCGAGCTTGAGGCGATCTTGGCCTGTTGGGGCCCTTTCTTGGCGTCCTCCTGGGGTTCTCTGGGGACGTCTTGGAGGCTTCTTGGGTCGTCTGGAGGCTGTCTGGGCTGTTTGTCATGCCTCCTTGGCGTGTTGGAGCCCAGCCTGAACAAGCTTAGATGGAATTTCAGGCATCTTGGAGACCACGGAGTGTAGAAATGGGGAGCTAGCCGTATCGTTTTTTTTGGGGTTCCCCCTCAATATGAATGTTTACGGCTTCGCGGACAGAGCGCCCCCGCCGCGACCCCATTGGTATTGTGCGGCTTTGCTGGGATGCCCCGCGCGGAGCGTGTCCGTGCGACCGCATGTCCGTGGGATCGCTCCCTGGAATTCGGAGCGCTGGGGCATAGCTGGAGGTTTGGGGGGCGAGATCGAAGTGGAACGGAGAGACCCCCACCAGGAAATCGGTTTCGGTTTCGGGTTCGTGTCGCGCGTGCGGGCGAGGCGAAGCTGCGTGGGCGGGCGAGAGGAGGGACTCCGCTGTGGCTAGGGCGGGACAAGACAAAAGACCGCCCCTCCAGGGGCCGGCGTGGCTGGAGGTGTCCCGCCGTGCTGTCCCGCCGTGCTGTCCCGTCGGTGTCCCGTCGGTGTCCGCGGGCGCTGGCCGGGAGTGTCCCGCAATGGTGTCCCGTCGGTGTCCCGTCAGTGTCCCGTCGATATCCCGCCGTTTGTGTCCGGTCGGTGTCCCGATTGGTGTCACCATCACAATCATCGCAGTCGTTCTCAGTTGGCCCTTCCCCCCCCTGCCTCCTTATCACCCGCAGGGTGGTCGTACACGTATGGATGATACGCTCGCCGCTCGTGACCCCCTCTTCCTGCGAGTCGTTTGCTAACATAGTTCCAATCGATGTTTGGGCATCCGAGACCCACGTAGGAGTGCACCTCGGGGGAGCAAAAGCAGCATCGATGAGTCGCCGCCGTGGGGAACCTGTCAGCGCGATGCTGTCTTAGAGACATCCCGGTCTTCGGACAACATAAGAAAGAGAGGAAGGAGCAACACGCTGGCGGGCTCCCGAAAGTTGCGTGCTATTGATCCTCTTTGTCCTTCCCGACGCCTGGATGCAGACATCCTACAATTTCTGGCCCCTTGCGGGTGTTTCAGAAATCCAGCTTGCATAGGGTAGGGCCTACGTGTGGTTGCCGATATCTGTTCTCACTCCACCTCCTCCTCCTCCTCCTCCTCCTCCTCCTCCTCCTCCTCCTCCTCCTCTTCCTCTACCTCCAGGCAAACCTCACGACACCATTTTGTGTTTGTGGTGAAAAGTTGACCAAACTGATTTGTATGTGTCCTCTTGCCCATGGTCGTCTACCTGAAGGCCTGAGGACTAATTGCCTCGATGACAGGTCAGCGAATGAAGATTGCGCGAATTACTTTATGAGCCTGTAACCTCTAGCGTTTACATACATATACTCCATCTATAATACAACAAATACATATCACCACACACGTACAGGTATTCGTGGTCTAGCTTCAAATCACGATCGCAATGTCATAGACTTACGTTCGGAAGTTGGCTGTCCAGCTTTGCACACCAGCGGGCTGCCAGGCTCCTGCGTGCGGGATTTTAGGACGATCAGATGTTTTACAGATCTGTCAGCGGCAGCCAGACGTCGATCGCCCCACACCTGTTTGCGCTGATGCATTAAATAAAGGCACCATGATAGGAGACTAGTACCACCAGACACTATCGCGCAGATCGGGTCTCTGATGTATAGCGTATGGCCACTGCGACGTGGCAGCATTACGATTGACCGCTCACGCTGCATCTCGGTGTGATCACTGCTCTCTTGGGATATATGGTGATCACGTTTCGGATTGATCGACTTAGTTGCCGATACCCCCCAGTCGCATACCAGTCGCAATATTATTCCAGGGATTGTGTGCGGCACGGTCAAGGCGAAAGACCGTCGCTATTTCTAGGGCCATGGGCCTCAGACCTGACACATCCACCAGGTAAAATCACACTTGACACGTGGACGCCCAACTTGATCCAGAACATCCCTCTGCTTCATTCCCGGCATATTCGGGGAGGGGAGGGGGGGGTGAACAATCATGAGCGCAAGCTTGGTTTTCGCCGATGGCTCACGAGATCGTCAGCGATGCGCTGTCCACGCCATGACGCGTGCCGCGTGTGGGGCGCGGGCCTGGGTGCCCTGCGAATCGCAGAAGACCGAGGCCCTGGGTTGAGAGTGGAGGCCTCCTGGCCATCCCAACGGAATTGGCAAATTCGGTGGATGCTTTCGGGCAGGTGTCTTCTGGCTCGTGTGCAGCTTTCATGTCAGGGGCTCGCCTGCGGGGAATCGGCACGTTGCGACCTCGCCCTCCGCGGAAGGCTGGCGGAAGGGAAAGGAGGGCAAGAGCCGGGGGAAGTGGGATTCTTTGGCCAATGCCACACCGTCCATGATGAGGGCGGGGGCCCGCAGAGGTGGGATAAGTGTCCCAAGGAGATGGTGGTTTCGCAGGATTCTGGGACTGGCGCTGGCCATGCGTCATGGCGCTCATCCGCTGTCCCAGAGCGGGACCGAAACAGCAACCGGCGTATGGACCAGGTGCCTGAAATTGTGGTTTCCATCATATCAAGTTCCAGTTGCGTTATGAGCATGTTCTTCACGCTTCGCGGATCCCACCGGCCCATTCAGAAATTTTGCCCATGAGAGTTGAGTGGAAAATGGGCGAACAGACACATGCAGTGAAACGAAGCGGGCAAACATGGTGAACAGAAAGATCTCTGGGAGCAAGTGGGTGGCCTTGAAGGCCTTTTCGGGCCATCCATGGGGCCCGCGTTGTGGGCCAGGGAAGGAAGAGGAGGAGGAAGAGAAAGAGAAAGAAGACGACGACGACCGCGACGACGAGGAAGATGATGGAAAGGCACAGGAAGACGATGAGGGCAAGGACGAGGATGAGGAGTTCGAGGACAACTAGGGCGACAGAGCCCTCAAAATCGCTTCTTGGAACCCTCTTGGAACTCTTTTGTAGGATCCTGGGGCCCTCTTGGAGCTTTTTGGGGGCTCTTGGAGCCCTCTTGGGGGCTCTGGTCGGAAGGGGAGGGTCCTCGATTTGCCTCCCCCCACCTGGGGCCATCGAAATCGCCTCTTAAGGCGCTCTTGGGGCTGTCTGTGCGGCTTCTTCTTTGGCTCCTCTTGTGCCTCTCTCGGGGGAGCGTAAGACCCGGGTTTGCCAGAACTCGGGTTTGCCATCGTTTTTTGACGACCGCGCCTCGGATTTTGACGAGGAGGAGTTTCGTGGGATGTCTGCAGCGGGAGGCCTCGTCAAAATGCAGGCTCGGCCTCGTCATTTTTTTGACGACCTCGTCGGGGATTTCCGAGTCTCCTGTACCCGGGTCTTACGCCCCCCTGGCTCTTGTGCCTCTCTTGGGAATGCAGCAGAGCTTCTCGAAGGTGACTCCGGCGATGCTGGACACCGCTCCTCTGAGAGCTTGTGCTCTGCCATCCTAGCGCGTTGGGTCTCGATCTTCGGACCATTCAAGACACCGGTAGTGGATGGCGAGGCGAACGTGGTATCCTGGGTGCCGCAACCGAACCACTCTCCGATCGACGCGGCATCGTGGTCCGAATACGAGCCCCCGGCCAGCGCGCCCGCATGATCGAGCAACGCGGTGCAGTCCCACGACGCACCATGCAGCGCATTGAAGAATAATTTGGGCGTTACGGACTGGGAGCCAGCATGCCCGACCTACTATGTGGTTGTCCGCCATGGATTCCAGACGACGCTCAGCTTCAAGAAGATGAACTTCCAGCAGATCCTTGGTTACAGCCATATCCGGATCCTTGGGCAGGAGCTGGAGGCCAGATCCGGATCTTCGAGCAGGAGCTGGAGGACCAGAAGACGCTCCTTGGGAAGGCGATGACAATGGCAATGACAATGTGCACTGGTCAGATCTGGACTGGGCCCGCTGGTTGTCACAGCCTCGGACGGAGAAACAGCCCAATACGCAACAGTCCTCATCAGGTTGGACTGCCCTGGGACGCGTTTCGCCGGCGGCGCCTGATCCGCAAAACACGCCTCTGCGAGGACAGGCTATGCCTTTACCTTTTTTGCCCCGACCTATTGGGGAGATACCGCTGCCAGATCTTCCGATCGCCGCTGAGGATGATTTCCTGAACAATCGGAGGCCCCAAAGATACCAAACGACCTCTTCACACTTCGGATGGAACATAACCGCATACTCGTCTAGACCCTTACATGAAGGAGCTGCAGCTGTGGCTCGCTACTACCAGAATTTTGAAATCTCAACGCGGGTACTTCATCTGTCGTTATGCCAAAGACGACCTCCAGACCATCATTCGCGAACTTACCCATGACCAGCTGTCTGCCGAGGGCGGCGGGTCGTTTTTGACGCAACACATTTAGAAGGCTTGTGCCAAGTACCAAGGCCGCAGAATACTGAAGGTGTTTGAACAGTTTTAGTTTTCAGAAGATCAGGCGTAAGCGATATGAACCCCTGGTAAACTATATCGCGCGCAAGCGCGTGCTCTTCCGAGAACTCGAGAAGCAAATTATCCGGTCAGAGGACTTGAAAGAGTACATGCTTCATAGAGAATCCAAGCTGAATGGCGCTGCTTGGGATGCGGGTTGGGCAATGGACAGAGGGATCATAAGCTTGTGATGTGGTGTGCGAAAAGCTTCGCAAGCTTGAATGGTCATTACCTCCTGACAAAGCGGCCATCGCATCCATTACATCAGTTTCTCCTTGCGCGTTGTCGGGCATCAAGGCGATGATGGCGGATGCGGGAATCAGGGGGCGGATCGCGACGATGCCCATTGGATTTTCATCCAACAGTCTTTGTTTACTTTGCACGAGGCGCACGAGGAAGACGAGATCATGAACGAGGCCAGCAAGTATATGGACGATGCCGAGGTACTCTTCGCAGCTGTAGACTTGCTCGGTGATGTGGTTCTAGAAGAGGGCGAGGCCATCGCCACGCGTGGTAACTACAGCCAGGTACGACAGCACATGCGCATAAAGAAACTTGGACGAGGCTTCTTCAGACAGCGACCCCCGAAGGGATTGTCCAAAGGCTCCCGAAGTGGAAAACGTCGAGGGAAACGCTCGGGACACGCCCGACCGAAGCGGCGGGCCAAACGTAAATTGATGAGCCGTTCGAAGTGCGCCTGGCGTGGGAAGATGGGGCACTGGGCTCGAGACTGTACGGGCGAGCCATACGAGCGAGGACGCAAGCGACAAGCAGGCTGTGGCTGCTCTGCATGACGTTCGCCAACGGGGACCTACGATCCAGCCTGGAGTCGGTTCCCTCGCCTTTCCTATCTGTGCTACTACCGACACTGGAGGTCAGTGTTTTATTGGACTTCAGGTTCCGATGGGTTTCGGCGCGGGGGGCGCAGCGCGGAGTGCGCGGCGAAGAGAAATCCCCCAAACCCTTTTTGAAATATTTTGGAGTGTCTACGGTCTAAGGCCCACGCAGAGACCTACATTGGAAATGGATGCCAGGGGCGTTGGAGGATCTACCAAGTGTCTCTCCAGCTGGACATTACCTATTGCCGCGGCAAAGAACTGCGGTGCTCTTGCGGTGCATTTGATTGCCTGTGATGTGCCCTTACTACTCACTCCCAGTGGAGATGCTCAGACAGCTCGGCATGGTTCTTGATGTGCCAGGTGGCGCTATCACTTGAAAGGCGCTCGACGGCGGCCAGTCGAGAGCGCTCAGACCACGTCTGACGCCCGAGGTCACCACCGTCATGCACAATGCGGCACAAGGAAATCACCATCACCACTTGCACGTCTGAGCTCCCGTAGCGTTGCTCTGAAGAGCACGAGCGCGACCATCATTGCAGTTTGTGAAACCGCGTTCCCCCTACGCGCCGCGCGACGTGAAGGTCAGACAGCGACTGTGTTTCCCTGTCGAATCTAGAATGTGTTTGTGATTGGATCGTTTTGCTACCCTTCTTTGGTTGTCTCCGCCAGAGCTGGTCGATCGCCCGCACAGTCCCAATTCAGCGAGGAGGGATCGCCGCTGCTTGGCCCGAGCGTCGACGCATACCTACTTACTGCATGAAGACTAAAAGCCCTGCAATCGACATCTTACTTCCAGCATGCTCCCGCAATTCTAGTCCGTTCTCCTCATCCTTCCCCACCTCTCCCTCCCCCACCTCCCCTCGACCCCCTCCTGCCCTCCCCGCTGCCTCCCCTCGATCCCCTCCCCCCGCCGCCTCCCCCCCCCCCCTGCCTCCCCCACCCGCGACGCCGCGATGTGCATGAAGGTCGTCGTCGTCGTCGGCGTCGTCGTTCGCTCGGTCGGTCGGTCGGTCGGTCGGTTGTTCGGTCGGTCGGTCGTCGTCGTGGTTGTCCTCTGTCGTCGTCGTTGCGGTTGTCATCCGTCGTCGCCCTCGTCCTCGTCGATCGTCGTTTCCCTCCTCTTCCTCCTCTCCGGTGCAAAGGGTGACACGCCCCTGCCGACCGCGGCCGCGCTCGGGTGCTTGGCGGCGGCGCTCCGCAGCGCCGGGCAGGCGCTCCGCAGCGCCGCCACCCGGCGACGACGCCGACGATGACGAACGACGGACGCCAGATGCCGACGACCGACGATGACGACGACGACAACGACGACGACGATCTACGAGTGTCGGCGACGACGAAAAACGCCGGTCGACGACGACGACGACAACGACGACCGACGAACGACGACGACGACGACAACGACGACGACGCACGACGGATGACGACGACGACGACGATGGCGACGACGGCGATGATGTCGATGGACGACGGATGACGACGATGACGACGACGACGACGACGACGACGACGAACGGCGGACGATTACGACGACGTTCACGGCCCACGACGGTCGCGGCCTAGTGTGGATCGACGCTCCAGGCTAGTGTAAGTTCTCCGCCTTTGATTCGGCCTCCAGGGGGCAGTCTCGTCGCCACAGCTGGATTCCCATCGAAACTCTTGTCAAACGCCTCCCGCCGCGGCCCGCAGTTTCCTGGTTGTTCAGGATAGTTTATATGTGTATATGCAAACGTATTATATATACATATATATATATGTATGTTTCGTGCATCCCGGGGGCCAAGGAGGGCTTCGCCTTCGAGGCTTTGAGGACTTGACCTACTCTTCGGCGGAAGACGGCGACATGCTGGCGGAAGTAGACTGGCGGCGGCTTCGCTGGCGGAAGGTTGGCAGAAGGTGGCGGGCACAAACGATCAGCCCACACAAGACGTTTTTGTGCTGGTTCCAGAACCTCGCCGATCTGATTATGACTGCTGACTTTCTGGCCTCCAGGAGCGTCCAGAGCTCTCTGGAGGCCTCTGGGCATCTCCGCGGGAGGAGCAGGTAAACACCCAGAGTGCATCCACGATGCTGCTGTGCACGCTCCCGCCCCAACGGCCCACCCCCACGTGTCCCCACCAGCATTACTTGTCACCGCCGGACGCGCACCCTTACACGACGAGCGCTCCACGGGCCTTCCTTTCAGGTGGGAGCCCCTTTCGAGAAGGAGCCGCCCTCCATCCAAGGGAAATGCCACTGGCAGGACCGTGCACTTGTCCAGCGAGAGCCCTGCTTTGAAAAGGAGTTGTCCTCCTTCTGCGCAGCTGTCGCACGCATGCAGAGTCCGCATCCGTGGAACGATTGCGCAAATTCAAACTTCTGGCGATGAAGTTCGAGGATGCGCCAAGCGAGCAAGATGACCGCCCACCAGCCGTGTGACTGTTGGCACGAGCTCCCCCTTGAACAACGAGCTCCGTCTGATGAGCAGGGATGAAGCTGCGAACAAAAACACCGTCAACCATCCGTGTGACTGTTGCACCATTTCAAGCTCGTGGCGAGGTAGTGTGGAGAGGTTCCAACCAGGAGCCCCATTTTGAAAAGGAACCACGCCCTATTCGTGTAATTGGTCGATATGTTTCCCTCAGGACGACATGAGGGCACTCTTTGTCCCAAAGCAGTCTGAGGTCTCCTGTCCAAGAAACCCCGAGAACTTATTCTGGACCAGAAGCCGCTCCAATATGTCAACGCCCCGGCTGCATACGTGCCCGTTCGTGTCCAACAAGCGCGCCAGGGGGGGGACGGGGGCGCACTGGTCCGCGCACGCGCGGCCCAGCCTGCTAGGATGGACGGGTGACTTGCTTAGTCAAATTTTCCCTTGTGAGTCTTACACAACTCGCTGCTAAGTCCTTCATACGTCGTCACTAACTCCTCTTGGTGTGATGAGTGAATTACAAGTCTCCTGGCAGGACTTAACTTAGGAAGTCCAGAACCAACCAGTGCGTTGTCCGTCGGTATGGCACGTCCGTCGGGACGGTGCATTCTCCGTTGGGGCGGTACATTTTCCGTCGGGGCGGTACATTTTCCGTCGGGACGGTACCTTTTCATTCGGCCCAGTTCAGATCACGTAGCATGTTTACATCACACGTAGCATGTGTACATCACACGAGGGCAGGTGCAGTCACGCATGTCGCGCTTGCCAGCTCAGCCAGCCGAGGGCGCTTGAGCATTACCGCCGCGACCTTTTCTCTCGCGGGGCGACTTGGGCCAGAAACGGCTCCGTTGTTCGTGCGCCTCTTCTGACCCATCATCATTGGCGCCATGGTTAGGCGTGTCGTAAATTGTGCTATGCACGAACCAGGGCCATAAGCCCCCGCCACTCCCCCTATGCGAATGGCCCCTCCCCGATGCGCCCCCCCTTCCCCCCCTTTGTCGTTGTCGTCCGCGTCGGCGTTTTCGCTGTCGCCCACGTCGTCCTCGTCGCGCCCCGTCCCGCCAGGGTGGCGGAGGGCCCGTGGGATCCCAGAGTCCATCGCATCAGGGGCCGGGGGCGGGGGGCCGTAGGCCCTCGACCTGGGATCATGTGTGACACCGCGGCATTGGACGGGCCGTTGTTTTAGCCGCGGTCTTCGCCGCAGGTTGAGCCATGGCTTGTGCTGCACTTGCACCCATGAACTGCAAGGTATGCTGCAAAGCGGGCGCGCCATGGGTTGCATCATGGGCTGCGCGGTGCGCCATTGTTTGCGCCGTGGGGCGCGCTGTCGGGTCGCTTTGAGATTTGCTGTAGGTTGCGCCATTCCTTCGCCGCGCGACATGCCAGTTCGCCATCTTTTATCCAGTGCCAACGTGAGGTAGTCCCCGATCAATTTCAGCATGTTCCAGCAGACCTGGGAATTTCCAGTGCATGACCAAGTTAGTGTGTTTTCCGTCGGGATGGTGCGTTTTCCGTCGGGATAGCGCATCGTCCGTCGGGATAATGCATTTTCCGTCGGGATGGTGCGTTTTCCTCCAGGGGCGGAGAGTTGCTGACGACTTAGCAAAGACTTGTGAGTCAAACTAAGACTAAGCAAGTCCCCCGCCCATCCTATTGGACCGCAGTTGCACCAGCGCGCGCGCTGGTTCGCGCCGGCACGCGCTTGGGTGGCGCGCCAGATTGCATGTGGCCCTCTTGGCTGAAGACGCGCGCCCTTGGTGCGAGCTCGCTGGCCCAGGCTCGCCTCGTCCGGGCGCGCCAGCAGGCCCAGCGATGCGCGCCCTTGGGCCAGCGTGGCGGCTCCCCGCACCGCCGCAGGCGCCGTCGGCTGGCACAGGCTTCGGACGACGCCATCTATATGCCACGACGCCGGTCCTCGCCAGGCTCCTCTTGGGCCCGGGATTGGCGTACACGCCGCCCTGGCCTGGCCGGGAAGTCGTGTACACCACGCTAGCCCTGGGCCCAGGACTGGCCCGGCCGAAGCTGGTTCTGGCGCACAGCAAGCGTCGTCTCTTAGGCCCCGGCACGGCCCAGGCTGCGGGGCCCGCGCCCGGCTCCTCTCGGCTGCACGCCAGAGTGACCTTTCGCTGGAGTGACCTTTGGTGCGGGCCCAGCTGGGGCCTCCCGATCGCTGAACGAGGTGCACTGGCGGCCGCTTGCACGCCAGGTGGTGTCCCCACAGGGCGCCCCCCGAGGCCGCGCACCAAAGGTCATTCCTGCCCAGGGTCACTCCTGCGTGTAGCCGATCCTCGTGCGGCGGCGGCGCCATCGGCAGCCGCGCCCGCGCGGGCGCGGGCGCTGCGCACTGCGGGCTCGGCGTGGCGGCGGCGCTCGCGGCGGGGCGGCGCGCCCACCAGGGCCGCCAGGCTCCGCGGCGGGCGCGGCGCCACGGCGGCCGGGCCAGCGCAGCCAGTGCGATCGCTCGCGGCGACGGGGCGGCCGCGGCGGCGCCTCTGGCGGTGGGGGGCAGAAGTGCGTTCATCGAAAACTTAGCCTGGTGACAGACCCAACCGTCGTTGTGGGCCACGAAACGTGTGAGGCTCTCTGTAGGGCCACGACACGTGCGAGTGGTGTGTCGACGTGGGTGGGGCGGACACATGCGGGCTGCGCCACTGGGACCTTCGGTGGAGCTCCCTGTGGGGCTACGAAACGTGTGAGGGGTGTGCCGCAATGAGTGGGGCGGGCACAGGCGGGCTTCGCCACTGGGACCTTCGGTGGAGCTCCTTATGGGGCTACGAAACGCGCGAAGGGTGTGCCGCAATGAGTGGGGCGGGCGCAGGCGGGCTGCGCCATTGGGACCTTCGGTGGAGCTCGCTATGGGGCCACGAAGCGTGTGAGGGGTCAGCCGAAATTGCTGGCATGCGAAAGGGAGGGAGGAGGGCAGGAGGAGGAGGAGGAGGAGGAGGAGGAGGAGGAGGAGACGAGTGACGTGGGGCGCTTTCTCTCCAAAGCGAGGACCCAACACCACGGGATGCTTGGGAACAAAATCCCGCGGGATGCTGGGGAACAGAAACACGGCATAAACGCAAACGTTTGGAGCTCAGGGCAGAGTTCTCGGACCGGCGCTGGGCCGGCGCCTCTGGCGCCGCCCTTGGCGCGTTCGGCGCGCCAGTCAGGGGGGGCGCAAGGCCGATCCAAGAAATCCGCGCACACCTTCCGAAGTTTGCGCTTATGCCTCCCTGGATTCGGGCCCCCGCTGAGCCAGGACCTTTCGGCAACGCGCAGAGGGGGGTAGGGGGAGGGGGGAAGGCTTCTTAGAAGCACCCCTGCTTCTTAGAAGGCGCGGGCCTTCTCTATAGACGTAAGGCCGAGGCCTTCTAAGAGGCAGGGTGTTTCTAAGAAGCCCTCCCCCCTCCCCCTGCCCCCTTTTGCGCGCCGCTAAACCTTACTGAGCAGGTCTTCGAGGGCTCTGCCTGGAGGGAGCGAGGCATAGGTAGCGCCTGCACCCACGGCTGCAGCCTCCTGGGCGCGCCAGTGTGCGGGTGTGTCAGAGTTCCTGTTTAGTGGGCCCTGGTGTTTTTTTTTTGCTGGGCACTCCACCCCTACGTTAAAACGACGCGAAGATCGGGACAAAATCGGATCGGGATAACTCGAAATCTCTGAGAATCGGCGGGTTTGGAGGATGTATTGGGCGCCGCGGCCGCTCCAGAGCGTTCCGGAACGCTCTGAGAGCGCTCCGGAACGCTCTGGAGCGATTTATCCCGATCCTAAGCCTTGTTTTATACGTGTGAAGGGCAGGTGTTCGGCCAAGGGTACCGCAGCGTTTTTCCTTGTGTCGCCCTCAGCCAGCCAGCCTCGTGGAGCAGTTGTTGCAGCTCGCGCGAGCATTGCCTTGCATCCTTATCACTGGCCCCGGCTCCATGCCATCTCAGGGGTGCCAGTGGGCGGTGCAGATGTCTATGCCTCCTGCTCCTCCTCCCCAATGCTCTCGCCTCCCTCCTCCCCTCCTCCCCCATCCTCGTCTCCTTTCAAAGACAAAGTAGATGTATTTCCGGACTTCGTCCGCAGGAGCACTCGTAGGGCAGATGAGTACATGCGGCATCAGGTTACTTGAGGTAAAGTGCAAACATACAGCCAGATGCGATGGGCTGCCCAGATGGCCCAGCATCCGAAGGATCGTTGGACACGACCAGCTCAGATCTGGAATCCCAGCCAGAGCATGAAGCAGCAGGGTTGGAGACACCATGGCGGACGGCACAAAGAGTGGCACGACGACGTTCGGACAATCCCACACAGCATGGACCCAGGCAACGGCAATCACACAGCAGGGCGCCAGCGACGTCGCGCGACGACGACCCCACCGCCAGCTTGACGACGTCAACGACGCCAGTGACGCCATACGGTTATGGTCTGCGACGGAACCGCGGTCGGCCTCGTGCAAGTACGACTCAGACGCACTCGCCACGCCACGCCGCGGCCCCGCACGCCCGGCCCAGAGCTGAGTTTGGGCCAGGGCGCGCGATCGGGGGCGGTCAAGGGGAGGGGGATGACTAGGGGGGGGGGATCTCATGGCGGGGGCCATGATATTTCCCCAGATGTCATGCCGCCTCCTCCTCCTCCTTCTCCTCCTCCTCCTCCTCCTCCTCTCCTCGCACTCCTCGCCTCTCCTCCTCCTCCTCCTCCTCCTCCTCCTCCTCCTCCTCCCCTTCTTATTTTCAGTGCGTCCGTGGCCTCCCCGCTGGGCCGCGCACGTGCCGCCGGTCACGATTTGCACCCCCCCCCTCTTGGACACCCCCCTCCTGGCCGCTCCCGAGCGCGAGGCCGCAGCGTCCGCCTCGCCGCATGTGCGAGGTTCGGCTCCTCGCTCGCTTCTCCTCCTCATCCTCCCTCCTCCTCCTTCTCCTCCTCCTCCTCGCTCCTCCTCGCACTCCTCCTCTCCTCCTCTCGCTTCTCCCTCCTCCTCCTCCTCCTCGCACTCCTCCTCCTCCTCCTCCTCCTCCTCCTCGCACTCCTCCTCCTCCTCCTCCTCCTCCTCCTCATCCTCCTCCTCCTCCTCCTCCTCCTACAGGGGGGGGCACTGGGCCCAGGGGGGCGAAGTGTGGGCCCCCGGTCGCCCACTCCTCGCCGACCCAGGCCTGGGTGCCCCAACCGGCCCGGCAGCGTGCGGCTCCGACATCAGGAGCCCATCGCCGACACGGCGGCGACACGTCGCCGATTCCAGGTCAATCCCCCCCCCAGGCACTCAGCCATATCGTTTCCCCTTCCCTCCTCCTCCTCCTCCTCCTCCTCCTCCTCTCCTCCTCCCCTCCTCTCCCCCTCGCCCCCGCTCCTCTCCTCTCCTCCCTCTCCTTCTCCCCCTTCTCCCTTCCCTTCCCCTCCCCCTCCCCCCCCTCCTCCTCCTCCTCTCGCCTCCCCGCTCCCTCCTTCCCCCCTCCTTCCCCCTCCTTCCCCCTCCTCTCCCCCCCTCCTCCCCCCCCCCCTCCTTCCTGCTCTGGTTTGCGGCCGTCTGGCCGCGCGATCTCCGGGCTTCTCTCCCCCGTACGTCTCTTCTGGTGGGGCGGTCGGCCCTGGGTGAGGCAGGTGCCAAGGGCGGCGGCCGGGATAATCATGTCGGCGTGCGCGGTTCCACCCGCCCCCGCCTGCCTCCACAGATCCTGGAGCCTGTGCCGAGGCGAGGGGAGACGCGTCCGCACCGCCGCCAGGCCACCCCGCGAGCCCGAGTGGTGGGCCTGGGCCCGGGGTGGATGTCGGCCCGGCCCCGAGCCTGGCCACGGGAGGCCACCGTCCACCAGGGCCCTGGGCCGAGGGGAGGCTCGCGGAGGCGTGTGCGGCGTCGGCTGCGCGTCGATCAAGAGTGGCCCTTCGCCAGAGTGACCTGGTCGGTGCGGGCTCACATGGGGGTCCCCCCAGCCCTGGCCTGCGCGATTGAGCTCGCCTCCCCCCCCGTCCCCGCGGCCCCCCAAAACTGCGCACCGGAGGTCACTCTTGTCCAGGGTCGCTCTTGCCGTGGAGGCGTGGGTGGCGGTGGACGCACTCTCCTCCTCCCCGCCCCTTCTGCAGGCAGGAGGTCCGGGGCCGAACGAGGTCGGCTGTCGGCTGCACCTGAGAGTGCGACCCTTCCCCAGAACGACCCTACGGTGCGCGGCTTTCGGGGGGGTGCTGGTGAGCCAGGCCCGAGCACCCAGGCCGCCACCTGGCATGTCGCGTGCCTTGATCGGGAAGCCGTGCACCCAAGGTCGCTCTTGCCTGGGGTCGCTCCTGCATGCTCCTGTGTGCAGCCGAGGAGGGGAGGATGTGGTAAGCTTGCCTTTCTCGTCTTGCTCCCCAGGTGGTGGAGGAGGGCGCGGCGGGGTCGACGAAGCCGCCGCGCAAGTTCGAGTTCAAGCCATTCGAAAAGCACCTCCCCAAGGCGCAGATCGAGGAGCGGGAAAGCCACATGTCCTATGTACGACCGCGGTTCCAATATCTCATCCCCTTTCCCTCCTATCCTCTTCTGTGAGTCTGAGGGTGAAGAGGGGGGTGGATCCTCCTTGGTGGGTCCGACGAAAGACTCCCATGAGGAGGGACTGCGATCGGGACGCTTCGTGCGTGGCCAGATGCGGGCGTTCAAGAAGACGAGCGTCGCCGGGTCCGTCACCTTCGGGGAAAAGCACGATCAGGTGATCGTGTGCATCGGTATGCCGAACATGAACCGAGCGGTGAACGGCGACCTCGTAGTGGTTGAGCGTTTGGAGGAGCAGGAGTCCTCCGAGCCGAGCGAAGATTCCAAGCGCCTCCGCCACGGCATCGGGGTCAGCACGCTCGCGCCGAAGCAGAAACAGAAGCAGAAGCAGGAGAAAGTCGAACTGTCGGGCGATCGACGTAGACCAGGAGAGGAAGAGACGGGCCGCGTGGTCGCTATAGAGAAGCGCAATGGGACACACTTCGCTGGTACCGTATACCCATCCGACGCGCTGCCTGTCGGGGTCCCTGCTAGCGTGAAGGAGCTTGGTAACAAAACGGGTGGCCTACTCCCCTGATTAAGAAGGGGAGAGGGACTGCATACACATCCTGAGCCTTGCGCGGATTTCGTTGGTCGGCGCTGGACCCCCCTCTCCTGGCTGGCGAAGTGCGCCAGGGGCGACGCCGACGACGCCGCCAGGAGGGGTCCAGCGCCGACACAAGAAGTCCACGCGCACCTCCGAACACATATGCTTTAGTGTAAGCGCGTTCTCGCCCCACAGGAAAACGTGCCCGCCGATCACATGCTGTTTGTGCCCTCTGACAGACGCTACCCCTACTGCTACGTCAGCCCGCCGGAGGAGCTCATCGCTCTGGGGGAAGAGATCCAGCGGGCGAGCGGCCACACCCGCCGACCCCAGAGGCAGGAGTGCCCGCGCCTCGGGCGGTGCGGCTGCTTCCAAGCCGGCTAGCCTCGATCGGTTCGATCTGGTCGGTTCGGTTTCGCTGTCGGTTTCGCTGTCGGTTCGATCCTCGATTCGTTCCATCGGTTCGGTTCGATCCTCGATTCGTTCCATCGGTTTCGGTTTCGCTGTCGGTTCGGTCGGTTTTCGATTGCGCTGTCGCCGTGGACCTCTCTGGGCGGTCTGGAGCACCCCTTCTCAACGAGGCAACTGGGGCTGTGGTCGAAGAACACAAGACCCGAGGTTGCCACAGATCTCTTGGGTCGGCTCTGGACCCCCCTCCCTAGTGCGCGAAGCGAGCTAGGGGTGGTGCCGGAGGCGCCGCCACGGGATGTCTAGCGCCGATCGAAGAAATCCGCACGGGTTTCCGACAGTTCGTGTTCATCTTCATGTTCTCTTTTTCTGAATGGAAGGGCCTTACGCGCTCATGACCCTCAACGGGGTCCGCGAATCCTGGAGACTCGCGTCGTCGTGGCGCTGAGCATCTGGGACGCCAACAGCGAGACGCCGCGGGCACGGTGGATCCGCACGCTCGGGAGGGCGGGCGACCTGGAGGCCGAGACCCAGAGCATCCTGCTTGAGAACAGCATCTGCGATGACCCGTTCACCGATGAGGTGTTGGCCTGTCTGCCGCCAGAGGACTTCTCGCCCAGCCAGGAAGACCTGGTCGGGCGACAGGACTTCCGCGGACTGGCGGTCTGCTCCATTGATCCGCCTGGGTGCCAGGATATCGACGACGCCCTCTCCTGCGAGCAGCTCGACAATGGGAACTACCGCGTGGGCGTGCACATTGCGGACGTCACGCACTTCATGAAGCCGAACACGCCCCTGGATGCGGAGGCCGCGCGCCGCTGCACGTCCGTATACCTGGTCGACAGGCGCATCGACATGCTCCCTCGCCTGCTGACCACACAGCTCTGTTCCCTTCGGGACGACGGCGACCGCCTGACCTTCTCGGCCCTAGTCGAGCTGACGCCCGATGCGAAGATTGTGGGCAGAAGATTCTGTAAGGGTATCATCCGCTCGCGGGCGTCCCTGTCCTACCAGGAGGCGCAGGCCCGGATCGACAGCGATCCCTCGGAGGACAGCTCGGAGCTCACGGTCGCCATCAGGAACCTCTACGAGCTGTCCAAGAAGCTTCGCGCGGAGCGCATGTCTCAAGGAGCGCTGGAGCTGGCGTCGACGGAGATGAAATTCGAGTTCGAGAGTGACGCGTCAACGCCGACCAACATGTTCAAGTACGAGCATTATGCGACGAACGAGCTCATAGAAGAGTTCATGCTGCTCGCCAACCGCGCAGCGGCTATACAGATCACCCAGTACTTTGGTAATTTTGGCGTGCTCCGACGGCACGATCCCCCCAAGATGGACTTCATGGACGAGTTGGCCGAAACCTTGTCAGCAGGCTTTGGTGTGAAGGATTTCAAGTACGGCACCAACCTGGAGCTTCAGGCCTCGCTGAATGCAGTGGACAAGCCCGACGATCCGTTCTTCAGCACGCTCGTGCGCATCATGGCGTGCAGGTGCATGAACGAGGCAGAGTATTTCTGCACTGGCGGCACGCCCGTCGACCGCTTTTACCATTATGGACTGGCAGCGACGCACTACACCCACTTCACCTCGCCGATTCGGCGATACGCCGACGTGATGGTGCACCGACTCCTCGCCGCGTCGATAGGCTTCGAGGGTCTCCCAGAGCATCTCGTCCAGGAAAAGTGCGTCGCCGAGCAGGTCCTGCGGCTGAACGACAAGCACAGGGGTGCGCGAATGGCCGACTTTGCGTCCGTGGCGCTGCATCAGTACCTCTTCTTCAAGGCCACTGGCCCAGTCATGGCCGAGGGCGTCGTGATGGGCACAACGAACAGTGCGATCAAGGTCGCGGTCGAGGATTACGGCTGCGATGGCGACGTGGAGCTTCCCATAATTGATTGGATGCTCGTCCGTGAGAGCCAGGAGGCCGTCGGCAGGCCGCGCTCGAAGTTCGAGGGGGTCACCGTGCGGCTCTTCGACCGCGTCGTGGTCCGCATCCAGGCGGCCGAGACCTCCGCATTCTCACCCCACCTCCCTCCTCCTGTCACTCCTCCCTCGCCCACCCTCCTCCACCTCGTCTCTCCTCCTTACCCCTTCCTTCCCCCCCAGTACCTCCTCCCGCTCTTTGCCACCCTCCCTCGTTTCTCCCCCTCGTTCTCCTCCTCCCCCTTGCTTCCCGCGTCCCTCTTGCCGCCTCCCTTCCCGCCTCTCCCGCACTCTTCTTACCCACTCCCCATCCGTTCTCCCTCCTCACCCTCTCCTCCTCCGTCTTTCCTTCCTTCCCCCTCTCCGCTTCTTGTCCCATTATATCTGCATTCGCCCCTTATCTCTCGTCCCTGAGCCCCTTCCATCATCTTTTTCCTTTCCTTTCCATCGTGACTCCTTCTCCTTCCCATCCTCCCTCGTTTTCCTCCCTGCCTCCTTCCTTGTCTGTCCATCTCCCCCCCCTGGAAGCTTCCATGAGCACCCTGAACACGGAGACACCCAGTTCTGGGAAACTCTTCGAAGGCGCCCGCAAGACCGCCGACGCCGTCCGGAGGCCCCCGAAGGCCGCCGAGAGGCGAGAGCCTTCGATCGAAGGCGCCCGCAAGACCGCCGGGGGGCCGTCCGGAGGCCCCCGAAGGCCGCCGAGAGGCGAGAGCCCCCGAAGGCCTCCGAAGACCGCCGGGGGGCCGTCGAGAGTCGAGAGCCTCCGAACGCCTCCGAAGACCGCCGACGCCGTCCGGAGGCCCCCGAAGGCCGCCGAGAGGCGAGAGCCTCTGAAGGCCTCCGAAGACCGCCGGGGGCGCCGCAGGGCGGGGCCGCCGAGAGTCGCCGGCGGCAGGCGGACGAGACCGACGGCAGGCACCGCGCGCTGAAGATGGACTTCGTCGGCCTGCCGACGGGCGTGCGGGGGAAGGACCGGCGGGTGGCTCCGGTCGGCGTCGGAGGGATACGCGCCGGTCGTTGAAAGCGTGTGAGAGCAGGGGCGCCTTCGATGGCGCGAAGCGATTCGCGCTTCGCGGTTCGGCTCCGATTCCTCCTCGTCTTCTTCTTCTACCCTGGGAGGCGACGCGAGAGCGCGAAGTTATTCGCACTTCGCGCTTCGCGCGACGCGAAGTGCGAAGTTGGGAGCCCTTGGAGACGGCGCTGCTGGCCCGCTTACCGATGGGTGGCTCTGGTCGGCGTTGGAGGGATACACGCCAGTCGTTGAAAGTAGGTATTTTTGGATTCCCAGATCCCAATCTACTTCAAGCGCCTTCCTACTTCAAGAGTCGGCATGGTTTTGCTGTGTTGTGTTGTCCTCTGGGAGGGCCTGGACCCAATCCACTTTGTCCGCCCACTTTGTTGCCTAACAGCGAAGACTGATAGGTTTCTAGTAGTGTCAAAAGAGAGCATCATGACTCCCCAGGGGGGTCTGGGCGGCATGCGGACAGGGATCCGCGGAAGTCGTTTTAAGCAAACAGTTAATTACACACTTCGTGGTCTTCGAGGTCCCGGAACTCCATTCCCGGGCCACATTCTGAATGCCCGCCCGGAGCCAACTGTAGGCCACTTCGTGCTCTTCGAGTTCCCAGAACTCCATTCCCGGCCATATTTTGAATGCCCGGAGCCAACTGTAGGCCACTTCGTGGTCTTCGAGTTCCCAGAATTCCATTCCTGGGCATGATTTTGAATGCCCGGAGCCAACTGTAGGCCACTTCGTGATCTTCGAGGCCCGGAGCCAATTGTAGGCCATTTCGTGTTCTTCGAGTTCCCAGAACTCCATTAACGGGCCACATTTTGAATGCTGAGGCAGGCTGAGGCTGAGGCTGATGCAGGCTGATGCTGAGGCAGGTGAGGCTGAGGCCGAGGCTGAAGGCAGACTGAGGCTGAGGCTGAAGCAGGCTGAGGCTGAGGCTGAGGCAGGCTGAGGCTCAGGCTGAGGCAGGCTGAGGCTGAGGCTGAGGCTGATGCAGGCTGAGGCTGAGGCAGGCTGAGGCTGAGGCCGAGGCTGAAGGCAGACTGAGGCTGAGGCTGAAGCAGGCTGAGGCTGAGGCTGAGGCAGGCTGAGGCTGAGGCTGAGGCAGGCTGATGCTGAGGCAGGCTGAGGCTGAGGCTGAGGCTGATGCAGGCTGAGGCTGAGGCAGGCTGAGGCTGAGGCCGAGGCTGAAGGCAGACTGAGGCTGAGGCTGAAGCAGGCTGAGGCTGAGGCTGAGGCAGGCTGAGGCTGAGGCTGAGGCAGGCTGGCTGAGGCTGAGGCTGAGGCTGAGGCTGATGCAGGCTGAGGCTGAGGCAGGCTGAGGCTGAGGCCGAGGCTGAAGGCAGACTGAGGCTGAGGCTGAAGCAGGCTGAGGCTGAGGCTGAGGCAGGCTGAGGCTGAGGCTGAGGCAGGCTGATGCTGAGGCAGGCTGAGGCTGAGGCTGAGGCTGATGCAGGCTGAGGCTGAGGCAGGCTGAGGCTGAGGCCGAGGCTGAAGGCAGACTGAGGCTGAGGCTGAAGCAGGCTGAGGCTGAGGCTGAGGCAGGCTGAGGCTGAGGCTGAGGCAGGCTGATGCTGAGGCTGAGGCTGAGGCTGATGCAGGCTGAGGCTGAGGCAGCTGAGGCTGAAGGCAGACTGAGGCTGAGGCTGAGCAGGCTGAGGCTGAGGCTGAGGCTGAGGCAGGCTGAGGCTGAGGCTGAGGCAGGCTGATGCTGAGGCAGGCTGAGGCTGAGGCTGAGGCTGATGCAGGCTGAGGCTGAGGCAGGCTGAGGCTGAGGCCGAGGCTGAAGGCAGACTGAGGCTGAGGCTGAAGCAGGCTGAGGCTGAGGCTGAGGCAGGCTGAGGCTGAGGCAGGCTGAGGCTGAGGCTGAGGCTGCAGGCTGAGGCTGAGGCTGAGGCAGGCTGGCTGAGGCTGAGGCTGAGGCTGAGGGCAGGCTGAGGCTGAGGCAGGCTGAGGCTGACTGAGGCTGAGGCTGCAGGCTGAGGCTGCAGGCTGAGGCTGAGGCTGAGGCAGGCTGGCTGAGGCTGAGGCTGAGGCAGGCTGAGGCTGAGGCTGAGGCTGAGGCTGCTGAGGCTGAGGCTGAGGCTGCAGGCTGAGGCTGAGGCTGACTGAGGCAGGCTGAGAGGCTGAGGCTGCAGGCTGAGGCTGAGGCTGAGGCTGAGGCTGAGGCTGAGGCTGCTGAGGCTGAGGCTGCAGGCTGAGGCTGAGGCTGGCTGAAGGCTGAGGCTGAGGAGGCTGAGGCAGGCTGAGGCTGAGGCCGAGGCTGAAGGCAGACTGAGGCTGAGGCTGCAGGCTGAGGCTGAGGCTGAGGCTGAGGCTGAGGCTGCAGGCTGAGGCTGAGGCTGAGGCTGAGGCTGAGGCTGATGCAGGCTGAGGCTGAGTCTGTGACTGCGACTGCCGTTGCCACTGCGACTGTCATCGCGAATGCGACTACGACTGCGAGAACAGCAGAATTCTACAACTGGATTCTCATCTGAATCTTAAGGGGAATGCTTCCAGATATGCTCCTACACATCGCTGTTAGGTTGCTTTGCCGGGATACTGTTTTCACCTACTTCTTCCGATCGACGAGTAGCGTGCGAGACGGAGCTGCTGGCCCGCTTACCACACGCTGTCCCAAGCCTTGGGGACAGCGTGCACCGAAGAAGCCATGGCAGGGGCATGGCGTGCACGGAAGAGGCCCTCGCGAGGGGATCGCCTCACAAGGAGAGCGTCTTTACGGGTATCGATGTTGCAGGCTATCTTTCCAACGCCAGCCGTCAGGGCTGAGGAGGAGGAGAAGGAGGAACGAGGACGATCGAGGACGATCGAGTTCGACCGAGGCCGAGGGGGAGGAGGAGGAGTGCTGGAGGCGGCAAGATGGGCAGGAAGGACTTCTGAATGGCCGGCGTGATGAGGAAGGAAGGAAGGAAGGAAGGAAGGAAAGAAGGAAGGAAGAGGAGTAGAAAGGGAAGGGAGGAAGAGGAGGAGGAGGAGGCGGAGGAGGCGGGGGAGAATGAGGAGGAGGAGAGGAGGAGGAGGAGGAGGAGGAGGAGGGGGAGGGGGAGAAGGAGGGGGAGAAGGAGGAATTAGGAGGAGGAGGAGGAAGAGGAGGAAGTGGGCTGAGGGCGACGGGACGGGCTGGCGGCGGGGTGAGTCGGCGTCCAGCTCTGGCCTGCAGGATGGGGGGCGGATGAGGAGGTCAAGGGAGGGTGCATCTGAAGAGCCCTCCCCATCCCGCTTTCCGAGGGGGCCTTCTCATAGGCCCCAGCTCCCAGCTAGGAGGCTGTCCTAGCGTCTCAGAAAGCCACCCCTCTCGCCCCACGCCTTTTCCCGCGCTGGCTCAAACTCCGTTCAAAACGGCTCGGGTCCATCCGAATTGGTTTACAACGTTCTGGCAGCCCTCGGGCCCGACATGTGGTCCCGCAGGCCGAAAACCACGAGCATGTGTTTGAACCGTCTCATCTTCTTATGGTTCAGACCGACATTGGTTCAAACCGCATTCCCGGACCGCTCTCGGGGTCATCCTGACCCTCTTCCCGTAAGCCCAGACGTGGCCTCGATGACCCTCCAAAAACCATTGTGTACCTTTAGAGCGACGATGCCGTCGCCGTCGGCCAGGACACAGAAGGGGTGTCAAAGAGTTCCACAAGTTGTTCTTCGATCGTCAACCTCGGTCCTGCGCGCTGCAAAGCGGAGGCGCCCCACTTCAGAGAGCCCCGGGGGCGCCCGCGGGTGGGCGGCAGGGCGGGAGGAGGAAGGCGAAGGGTGTTTACCCGACGCGCAAGATTTGAGCTCGAATGGAGGGGGGAGGAGTACGAGGGCGGATGAGAGTGGAGGGGGATGATGAGGAGCAGGAGGACATGTGGAGGAAGAGGAGGAGGCGGAGGAGGAGGAGGAGAAGGAGTAGGAGGAGGAGGAGGGGGACGGGCAGGAGGAGGAGGAGGATGAGGAGGCCGAGAAGGAGGAGGAGGAGGAGGCGGAGGACTAGGAGAAAGGAGGAGGAGGAGGAGGAGGAGGAGTAAACATCCGCGGGAGGAGGGAGGAGGATCGAGGGCGGACGAGGGTAAATATTGGAATGGAGGATGGAGGAGGCGAGGAGGCCGAGATCTTGCGCGCCGCCACCAGGAGGCGCCGAAGGCCCAGACGCCTCAGGGCGCCCCTGAGCTCGTGGCCGCGGCGTCCGCTGGCGGCGAGGCGGCGGTGGCATAGGGGTCCCACGAATAGAGGCCGCGGCGTTCTGGAGGAGGAGGTGGAATATGAGGAGAGGGTGATCCTGATGGGTACTGGCGAGTCTGAACATAATGTTGAGGATGACGCTGATGATGATGATACTGACGATGATGCTGATGATGGTGATGATGATGCTGCTGATGATGAGGAGGATGATGAGGATGATGATGAGCAGGAGCAGGAGGAGGAGGAGGAGGAGGAGGAAGAGGAGGAGGAGTGGGGGGAGGAAGGATGAGAAACAGGAGGAGGAGAAACACGAGGAGGAAGAGGAGGAGGAGGATGACCGCGTGCCCTCAGGAGGACGCCCGCGTACCTGTGCCAGAACATCGACATCCACATTACATGTCCATTGAAGAAAATACACTTCCTGCTCCCACACCTCCCAGGTGCAAGCAACCACTACCTCCGCATCGGTACGCAACACCACCGACACCGCAACCACCAATATTCCCACTTGGAAGCCATCGTGGCACCGACGCCAACGTCGACAACGAGCACTTGCATGCACGCTACCCAGAGATGCAGCCGCACGACAAGTATTGCTACCACGACATCCACCGCACACTCCAGCACTGAGAGAACCGTTGCAACCAACCTCCAGCCGAATGCCGAGCAGAGGCCCATTTACGTGGCCCACGACGCTAGTTATCAGCGCAGGTTTGGGCAGGTGGAGGAACGACCAATAGATGGCTCAATGGGCAGCCCAGCAACCCCGACGTTTATCGGAGCAAGGGCAACAGAGGCAGGGGCAAGGGCACCAACAACAAGGGTAAGGGCAGCCTCCCCAAACCACGCGGCGACTACACAAAGGACGACGGGAGTCACCTGAAGGGAAAGCAAAAGGACAAATTGGGCAAGAGCAAGGGGAACTCATCTGCCCCAGCAGAAGGAGGACCCACCCCACCAAGAAGCAGCGGGACTCAAACCAGGTTTGCCACAGCCCTTGCAGGAGGACCATCGACAACGTCATGCCTATGAAGGTTTTAACCACGAGAAGGCCAGATTCGGGAACGCCACCGGACGACCCCGAGCTCACAGAGCAACAGCGGTCACCAGCGACGATCGCCAAGCACAGCGCCGCCAGGCTGCCGAGGACTGACGCCGAGCCCCGCGTCGCTTTCATCAACGCCACGGTCATCAGCAGCATGCCGCTCGCCCAGCAAGCCAGGGACATCGAACGCACCGAGGAGGTCATGGATGATTACTTCGAGCACGCCAGTGCGCACCACAAGGAGGTGGAGGTCCACTGTGAAATACTGAACGGTCGCCGGGATCCACGCCGTCAGGAAGGACATCAACAACGCAAGGGGCGACGCATGCAACGGCACAGGGGCCGCCGACGACGAGGCGGAGCCACCCCGAAGAGACGCGAACCAAGGAGGGCGGCAACGCCGGCCCCGTGAAGACTGTCAGGGGCCGGGGAATCAACGGGAGAACAAGATGTCGGCGCGCTCCTGAAGCTGGACAACCCAAGCCTCATCCACAACGTCGAGGCCAAAGAGAAAAGCGACAACCTCGACGGGACCAAGAACGAGCTTGAAACTGTGCGGGGAGGGGCTGCACGGGGACGACGCGAATTACGACAGCACTTCGAAGCTTCGAAACCCGCGTCGAGAACGAGTGCAACAATCGGAACGACATCGCCAACGATTCAAAACGTGCCCAATGGCAATTGAAGGAAGACCTCGTTGCTGCAAAGACGACTGATGGCACAATTGCTGCACGTCATGAGGCGGTACAAGGTCGAAGCGCAACCGAGTTCCGCGACGCTAAGGAGGAAGCGGAAGCATCAGGAAGGCCAACCTCCAGAAGAAGAAGCACTAAGCCACGAGGAAGGAGGCAAGCATCGCGGACGCCGAGAACCAGCTGAATAATGCACGCCGCCAGCCCGAGCACGAGGATCACAACCAGGGCGCCGCGCAGCATCGCATTCGACCGATGGGGAAGACACCTGCTGAAAGGGGCGCTTACTACCGCTAGGTGAAGGAGGCAGAGCATCGTATCTCGACCAGCGGGGCTCGCAGATTCAACCGGCTCAACGAGCGGCGCGGGCTCCGCGAGCAGAGGGGGGCCGCGGACAAGTTGTTCGGGGGGGGGGCGCCCTGGCGCGCATCGCCGCGAGAGACGCGCGGAGGCTATTTTCCAACCAACAGCCACCGATATCGAAAGACTGGTGCGAGCCGGAGAGGCCGGGCGAGGCCAGCGGCGCGAACAACTTTTATGCGTGGCGATCACTTGAACGAGCGAGTACGAGGAGCAAGCGAGGCAACGCGCAGCTCGAGCGGAGGGCCAGCGCGAATCCACTCCAGCGATCAGAGATCGGCTCCTACTCGCAGAGCGAGGCCCGCCATCGCGAGACTGACGCGCGCAAGCCACATGAAGCAATTTGGAGGGGCTGGGGCGGGATTCGCCAGAGACGCGCTGAGGAGGCCCACCCAGAGTATTTCCCCGCCCAGCGCCTCCAATGGGGGGAGAAAACTGACCGACGCGACCGGCCCGCGACGCGACAATCCTGGGTCCTCAACAAGCAACCGGATGCGCATCGCGTTCGGGCTCCCAGAGATCAATCTCAAATAAGGAACGGGAACCCACGCGCACAGAGCACGCAGCGCGCGGCACAACTCGAGAAGCCCAGGACAGGACACAGCACTCACGTCCACTAGCGACGAGTTCTGCGCTGTCGGCGACTTCGGGAAGGACGAGAGTCTTTGCACCGCAAACCGCCCGCATGCCAAACTTGGCCCATCCGTCGCAGCTGCGGCTGCAAGGACACATGACAAGTCGCAGCGCGACCTCGACTCAGCACCGCCCACCCAGGAGTGCACGTGCGTGGCACTAGAGGTGGGACAGGTCCACGTACCCGTCTACAATGCATGGGGATGGATGAAGACCCGATGCATCCACCATAACACTTCGGCATACTCGACAGAGACCAGCGACCCTTGAAAGAGGGGGGCCCACGCCAGCGCCGCCCGCGCCGTCTTGCGCTTCGTTATCAGGAACGACGCTGCGCCCAACGCCGATGATCCTGCTGACCGCTGTTTCGCGCGGCCAACTCACGCGGCCCGCTGCCGCGAGGCAGCTGGGCGCAGGACCGACCGCAACTTGTTCGACGGGTGCGCCGCTGCAGGGGGGAGGGGCCCATAGCGGCGCCACGGTGGGGGATGGCTCAAAGATGGCCCAGGCCAGCCTGATCAACCTCGACCTCCGCGCGCGCGGGCCCCGACGGACAGGGGCGCGCCAACTTGGAGCAGATCCAAAAGGCCATGCCCGCCCAGGTCTGCAAGAAGCCGAATTCGAGGGGGCAGAACATGCGGCCATCCACTCCAGGATCTACATCAGAACCGCGCGCGAGGACAGGGAATCTATTTTGCGCGCCGTCAACGAGCTCGGCGTCGTCGCAAAGTGCAGCGAGGCGCTCCCGCTGCTGTTCCACCCCGCGCGCGGTGGGCATCCGCTGATCCAGGGCCACCCGCCCACCCAGCGGCGACCCGATCTTCGGCCCGCGCAACCTGCGCGTGATGGCCCACGCGCGCGCTGGTCTACGCAACGCGAACGACCCCAGCCACCTCGCCCCTCTCATTGCGGGCGACGGCGACGAACTGTGCCACCCCAGGCACCATTCAGCCAAATACAAGGTATCTATCACCACTAATGAAGAGATCGGCGCAAGGTGCGAATGCCGACTTGGCCGCCGCCAAACCAGAACCCACTGTGGCCCCTTCTCGGGGACCTCGACTGGCATTAAACAGTTTGAGGCGTATTTTCCCCACGAATGCTTTCCACGAGTTGTGGATGGACAACAATTAGCCTGGCGAAGGGCCCAGCCATATGCAGTTGCGAACGCCGTCGCTGCATGCGCCGCATTCGGGGGAGCTCCTTATTGGTGCCGCGAAACGCGTGAGGGATGTGCCGCGAATTGTCGAGTGGGCGCATGCGAAAGCAGCCGCTTGGGCCGTCGGTGGAATCCCCGATGGGGCCACGCAGCGCGGGGGAGGTGCGCCGAAATAGATGCGGCGGGCGCGTGCGAACGCAGCCGCTGGAGCCGCGCCGACACGGGCGCGGTGGGCGCGCGCGAACGCAGCCACTGGCGCCTTTGATGGAGCTCCCTATGGGGCCACGAAGCGCGCGAGGGGCGCGCCGAAACGCGCGGCGGCACTGGGGCCTTCAGTGAAGCTTCCTCTCTATGGAGCCAAGCAACGCGTGAGGGGTGTGACGACATGGGCGTGGGTGACGCATGCGGGCGGCGGTGTTGGGGCCTTCGGCGGGGCCCCATATGGGACCGCGAAACGTGTGGGGGGCATGCTGGAATCGATGCGGGTGACGCACGCGGGCGGTGGCGCCGGGGCCTTCTGTGGAGCTCCGTATGGGGCCGCGAAACGTGTGAGGCGTGTGACGACATGGGCGTGGGTGACGCATGCGAGCGAAGCGTGCGAGGGGTGCCCCGATATGGGCGTGGGTGATGCGTGCGGGCGGCGGCAGCAGGGCCTTCGGAGGGGCCCCCAATGGGGCCGCGAAGCGTGTGATGGATGTGGCGACATGGGTGCGGGTGACGCATGCGGGCGGTGGCGCTGGGGCCTTCGGTGGGCCCCCCTATGGGGCCGCGAAGCGTGCGAGGGGTGTGGCGACGCGGGCGTGGGTGGCGCATGCGGGCGGTGGCGCTGGGGTCTTACTTCGGTGGAGTTCCCTATGGGGTCACGAAGCGTGTGATGGGTTTTTGCCGACATTGGCGTAGGTTACGCATGCGGGCGGTGGCGCCGGGGCCTTTCGGCGGGGCCCCCCATGGGGCCGCGAAGCGTGTGAGGGGCGCGCGTGGCGCACGCGGGCGGTGGCACTGGGGCCTCAGGTGGGGCCCCTTATGGGGCCACGAAGCGCTGCGCCGGGCGGGTGAAACTCAGGGGGCCGGGGGGGGGGGGAAGGAGGAGGAGGAGCGAGAACGCGGGGCGATCTCTCTTCAAAACGAGGACCCAACTCCGCAGGATGGTTGAGCACATTA